TGATAATCTGTCATAATTAAGTACTTATAATTATAGTTAAATAAAATGATGTGTCATTTGTTTATTGATCAGATATAAATATTCTCTGTAAATAAACTTTATCATATATTTGACTGTCCAAAACATGTAATCTAGTCTTCATAAAGAAGAAATACCCTACTCATCTCAACGCCGTGTAAAAGTTATTAATATTATCAACTAATCGTCTTCCATCAACTGAATAATCACCAAAGTGAGAAGTTAAACATTGAGAAGTTAAACATTTAATTTTCTGACATCAACTTAGACAGAGATGTCCTTTTGGACATTAATACTCCGTCCGGTTCATAATAAGTGAATTTTTAACCTTTTTTTTTAGTCTAAAATAAGTGATTTTTTCAGATTTTAAGAATGAATTAATTATTTTTTTCCTACACTGCCCTTGGAGTAAATAGTGTTGGAGCATGTGTTAGGAGTATTTATGTGAAGAGATAGTAAAGGTTAATATGGTCAATTTCATTGCTAATTAATGTTAAAAGGTAAATTTCTTAATCTGTGTGAAAACAACCAAAAAATTACTTATTGTGGACCGGAGGGAGTACTAATTTATCAATATTTATAATTTATCAATCCTTGTTAATTGAACTTTATGTAAAGTTGTAAACAATAGAAATGCTGAATTTGGATGTGTGTATATATATGTCACTTCGATTAATTTCTCGATATATCCACTTGTAGAGGATAAAATTGGTTCGTATTAAATGATCGAATGATAGCGTGATACGTGGAAGCGGAGACAGATGGAAGACAAATCGAGTGAGAACCAAGACCGGGAACAACAGCTGCAGTTGGCACCGGATAAACCCCGAGGGAAACACGATCAATGTGATCGGGTTGAATGTTTGTCACCAGATGACATTTAATGAAGAATATTCCCTAGTTATTAAATAGGCAGTTGTTGAACAGAATTTTGGTATTCATAACCCGTCGTTAAATATTCATCAATGACCCCCTTTATTGTCATTTAAGAGGGGCTTGATCCTAGGATCTTGTTTCCTAGGTATAGCTATAAATAGCAGTTTCAACAATCATTGTAAGGATACGAAATCTCTGGCAAAACGTATGTTACATTCTATTCTCAAACTAAATAATATAACTTTACTTTCTGTTTTATATTTCTCTTATTTCTGTCCTCGAAAGCATCGCTCCCGGAGCCAAGCCTGCCATTTCCTTTGATTTTAATGCTAAGTCTTATTTTTAATCTAATTTATTTATCATTTTGGATCAAATTAGTTTGTTTGTCTATAAACTACATAACAAATTCAACGGTACTGTTTCACAAGTAAACAGTTTGGCGCCCACCGTGGGGCTTAGACAGTTGCGTAATTGAGTTGATCCTTGAATCTATTACTAACTCGTTTTATTCTTTGTTTCATATAAAAAAAATCGAAAAATGGAAGCTAACGATGTCAACATCGCACACAACGTTGAGGCGCATGAAAATCGGCCTCAATATGAGGATTCGACCAGTGACACCCGCAACAAGAGGGACATGTCAATTACAGTTCATGGCGGACAATATCCCCGACATGTGCAGGAACCAACTCCCGATGATGCAGAGGACGAACACATTGCGGAAACGGTAAGGATCTTGAGAGAGCAGCAAAAAGCCATCATGGACCATCTCTCAAGGCAGGACCAGGTCATGACGGAACTAAAGCAGGCATTATCAGGTGCTTCCAACAACGCAAACGGAAGATTCCCAGTTCCTCCCGGCGCTCTTACAAATCAAACGGCTCGAAGAGTTGATAATAACACCCCGAGGGGTGAGGTCGGCTTCGACGGAGCCGAGGGGACCGGTAGTGAATCCGATAATGACAACGATAATGATCCCTTCAAAACCGAACTCATGAGATTCATGAGGGAAATGAACGAGAGGATGGATCGGAACACGAAGGATTTTTACGCCCGAATGGATCAAATTCTGGACGCACCACCAGTTTTGAAGGGCCCAAATTCGAAGAAGTACACCTAATTATCGTTTAAGCCGAGCGCATTACCAAAATTGATTCCAAAATGGTTCAAGATGCAGGACATACCAAAGTACGATGGGACTTTAGATCCTTAGGAGCACATCATAACTTACATAACGGCGGTGAAAGGAAACGACTTGGCTCAACATGAGATTGAGTCGGTTCTGCTGAAAAAATTTGGAGAAACACTCATGAAAGGGGCCTTGACATGGTATTTGCTTTTACCCGAATATTCAATTGATTCTTTTGAAATGCTCGCAGATTCATTCATAAAGTCCCATGTCGGGGCTAGAAAGTTCCAAGACCGGAAGGCAAACATATTCAGGATCGCATAGGGTAAGTCTGAATTGCTGCGGGAGTTCGTGATTAGATTCCAGAAAAAAAGGATGCTATTATTGGTCGTACCGAACGAATGGGCAGCTGAGGCATTCACTAAGGGTTTGAACCCAAGGAGCTCCGATGCCTCCCGAAAGTTGAAGGAAAGCCTGCTCGAATTCCAAGCGACCACATGGGCAGACGTCCATAACCGCTATGAATCGAAGATAAGGATAGAAGATGATCAGCTTGGATTCCCGACATCAACTAAAGGACGGGACCGAGAGAAGAACCGGGATAAGTTCAAGGATAATTTTGATGCAGACCGATGATGTTCTAAGGGCCATTTTTTTCCTTATGAGAGAGCCGACGGGTGTGGCAGTAAAGGGTTCCAGTCCTCGAATAGGTTTGCTCCCGAAAGAAGAACTGACCGTGGCCAGAATAACAGATCATTGCAAGAGAAAGAAGTGCAAGGGACCCGGGATCCCACATATTCCATGTTATAAGATTACAATTTCAATATCAGCGTAGTGGAATTGGTATCGGCAATGAGGAATATCAAATAAGCACGATTCCCGAAGCCAATCAAATCTGATCCCAGCCAGAGGGATACCAACTTATGGTGTGAATATGATGGAACTCAAGGTCATAGAATCGGGGACTTCCGACATCTGTGCGAGGATGTGGCAACGCTGTTGAAGAACGGTCATCTCAGGGAGTTCTTGAGCGACCTATCCAAGAACAATTATGGTCACAGCAGGGACAACGCAGAACCCTCGAAGATAGGGGAAGACCCTCTTCGACTGACTATCAACATGACTTTCGAAGGGAATGAAATCAATGGTGTAACCTTCTCGGCGGCCAAGAAGACAAAAGTATCGGTGACTCACAGCAAGAGACTCCGGGAAGTCGCCGAAGACGACATCACCTTCACGGGGGAAGACGCCGACGGACTTCTTCTGCCACATAATGACACCCTGGTAATTTCTCTTAATATTCTAAATTTCAAGATTAAACGTGTTTTGGTTGCCCTAGGAAGTTCAACCAACATCATTCAATGGAGAGTATTGGAACGAGACAAATTAACCGGAAGTATCATTCCGGTAACAAAGCTCCTCGTCGGGTTCAACTTGGAAAGTGTGACAACCCGAAGGGAGATCATGCTGCCCACAAACGCCGAAGAGGTTACAAAGACCACCTTATTTGAAGTGGTAGACGGAAACATGGGCTACAACATAATTCTCAGTAGATCATGGTTACATGAGATGAAGGTCGTACCATCAATATATCACCAACTGCTGAAATTCCTGACCCTAGAGGAAATCAAGCAAATAAGAGGAGATCAACCGGCATCAAGAGAAATGAACGCAATGTCAATTTCCAGCAGTAAAGGGAAGGAACCCAGCAAATAGCACTTACAGGAACCGACGCCTGCTCTTGAGCCAAGTGAAGATGATAAAGGCGAGGAGTCGTCAGAATCCAACCAGGTACCGAGATACTTTTAGGTACCGGAAGAGACAGACGTGACCAAATCCATGGCAAAACAACTAGAACAAGTGGCTTTGTTTGAGGAATTCTTGGAGAGAAAATTTCACTTGGGAACAGGACTCAATCCCGAGCTCAGGTCAGGATTTATTAATTTCCTTAAAACTAACGTCGATTGTTTCGCATGGTTGCACTCGGATATGATAGGTATCCCACTAGAGGTGGCCGTGCACAAGCTAAGCCTGGACCCAAGCGTCCCTCCGGTAAGGCAAAAGAAATGTCTGATAGCCAAGGTCAGAAACAAGTTTGTTAAGGAAGAGGTAACTCGATTAGTTAACATTGGTTTAATCCGAGAGGTAAAGTATCCCAAATGGCTAGCTAATGTAGTTGTAGTTCCGAAAAATAATAGCAAGTTTCAAATGTGTGTAGATTATAAAGACTTGAATAAGGCGTGCCCTAGAGACTCGTTCCCACTGCCAAACATTGATCAAATGATTGATGCAACGGCCAGGCACGAGTTAATGAGTTTCCTCGATGCCTATTCCGGGTACAATCAAATTAAGATGAACCCGGAGGATCAGGAAAAAACTTTGTTCATAACAAACTTTGGCATATATTGTTATAATGTGATGCCCTTAGGGCTTCAAAAAGCCGGAGCCACCTATCAGAGGCTCGTGAACAAGATGTTCGAGAAACAAAAAGGTAAAACAATGGAAGTATACATAGATGACATGTTGGTCAAGTCTTTGAATGCAGGTGATCATTTAAAACACCTCCAGGAAACCTTAGATATCCTGAGGAAGCACAACATGAAACTCAACCCAGAAAAATACGCGTTTGGGGTTGGCTAAAGAAGCGGTGATGGTGTCAGAAACGACATCAGGAGTTTGGACCTTGTTCAGGGATGGAGCTTCCAATGTGAAAGGGTCCGAACTCGGGGTGGTCCTAATCACGCCTTCTAGGGAAACCCTAAGGCAGGCCATAAAAACTGTTCTGCTGACTAACAATGGAGCCGAGTATGAGGCTTTGATTATAGGACTCAAACTGGACCGGGGACTTGGGTCCAAGGTCATAGATATCAAGTGTGATTCTCAGCTGGTAGTAAACCAAGTATATGGGATTTTTGACATAAATGAGGAACGCATGCAACAATATGTGATTAAGGTTCAAACTTTACTTGCATGATTCATGGAGTGGTCGACCACACACATCCCAAGAGAAGTGAATGTAGAAACAGATGCATTGGCCAATTTGGGGTCGTCCACGGAGATGAAAGGATATGATTCCGGTACTGTCGTTCAACTTATGCATTCGGTAATGTTGACATCTATTGTTAAGTAAATACAACCAGCCTAGTCTGGGATTGGAGGAATGAGTTCAAATCTTTGGCATGGTAAGTTTCCCGAAGATCTAAAGGCGTCCCGGGCACTACGCACCAAAGCGGCTCTCTACAGCTTCTTGGGTGGACAATTATTTAGAAGATCTTTCCAAGGCCCGTTGGCCCGATGTTTAGGAGCCTCGAAGGCGGACTACGTAATGAGAGAGGTCCACAAATGGATTTGCGAGAACCATTCCGCCGCAGATTCGTTGGTGCTAAAGTTTATTAGGGCAGGATATTATTGGCTCCGGATGGAGCAAGACACAAAGGCATTCGTTCAGAAATGAAATAAGTGTCAGCGCCATGCATAATTGGTACACCAACCGGTGGAGCTCTTACATTCGGTACTGTCCCCATGGCCATTCATGAAATAGGGGATGTATATAGTTGGGTCGTTGCCACCGGGTCCCGGAAAGGTAAGATTCCTTCTAATTTTAGCTGATTACTTCACTAAATGGGTTGACGCAGGTCCTTACCAAAAGATCGGTGAGCGCGAAGTGATCGACTTCCTATGGGAAAACATAATTTGCCGGTTCAGAATACCGAAAGAGATTGCCTATGATAACGGACCACAATTCATAGGCTCCACAGTCACAAATTTTCTTAAAGACCTAAAAATCAAAAGGAGTACTCCTTACCATACCATCCGAGCGCTAATGGGCAGGCGAAATCAACCAATAAGGTGATTATTCAAAACCTCAAAAAGAGGTTGGAAGTAGCTAAAGGCAAGTGGCCTGAAGAGTTACCGGGTGTGCTATGGGTATACCGGATGACTGCAAAATCAAGCACGAGAGAGACACCTTTCTCTCTTATACACGGCGCAGAAGCTCTGATCCCGGTGGAAGTAGGAGAACCAACCTTACGGTTCTTTCGAATAGACGAAGAAGCAAATAATGAGGCATTGCTGGTAAAGCTGGAACTGCTCGATGAGTGCAGGGACTTGGCATAGGCGGGGATGGTGGCTCAGAAACAAAGTATGGAAAGATACTATACCCGGAGGGCCAATCTCCGCTACTTTAAAGTAGGAGACTTGGTTTTGAGGAAAGTGACTCAGAACGCTCGGAAAATCAACGCTGGAAAGCTGGGTCCAACGTGGGAAGGCCTCTACTGGGTTTTAGCTGTCATCGGTAAAGGATCCTATGAGCTGGAGAATCAAGATGGAGTCAAATTTCCAAGCAACTGGGACGTGACTCACCTCAAAAGTTATTACTGCTGATGGATCCTACCTATGCTGAAAGTATGTGCTGCACTCTTTTTCCCTTCGACTAGTTTTTGTCCCAATCGGATTTTCCTGGCAAGGTTTTTAATGAGGAAACAATGGAAAACATATTATGAAAGGAGCGTCATCGGAAAAGTTAAGACCTTTTAAATATTAAGGTATTGAAACAACAAACCACTGCGGGATGGTTAAATAGTATTTGGCTCGATGGCAAATTCCTAATGGGAAGTAAAGCTTGACATCGGGCCAAAGGCTATTCAACCGTTCACAAGTGCTTTACCTAGCAGACCAAGACTTCCAGTGTTCCAATTCGCATACTTCGCATTCGAACACTGGGGGGAATAATATGAGAATACGGCAACATGATTGCCATCAAAATCGAAACTACCAGACCCCAGAACAATAATGTCTCATCATGATTGGGGACTGCACGAGTAGCCTTGTAGAAACAAGTTGTACAAGTTAGCCACATGTATTAGCAATTTTTTTTTTTAGCAATCGAATGCTTATGTACTTCTAAAGATGGAAGGAATAAAATAAAGTCCTTTTATTTTTATCTTGTTTCTTGTCCAAACAATGAGTTAATTTTATCATTTGAAAGTTAACAAAAAATTTCAAATACTTGTGTCAGAATGAACAAGAGACGTCCTCTTCAAGAGCACCGTAAACATAAGAGGGCCCTCTCTTATGAAACCCTCATAGTAAAGGGTTGGTTTCGGAAGAATTTATGCCCGGAACCCAAAGGCTATCGGATGAAAATACCCGAAGCCTTATCTAATTCGACGCAAAAAGAATAAACCTTGCACAATACTTAAACAAAAGTCTTCTTTATTAATCAACATGCCAAAAAACATAAGTACAAAAGAACAAAGGAAAATAACAAAGAAAAGAGGAAAAATCTAAACCTCATCGCCACCGGAACTTGGGGGAGAGAGGCATCTACACCCCCTCCCCCCCGGGAGAAGTGGGCGGATCTGTCGCCGGTGCAGGATCTTAGCCTTCATCAGTATTCTCTTCAAGTTTCTCCTCGGTTCCCGAATACTCAGAACCGATACTAGAAGAGTCAGTTGCGTCAGGCTGAGCCAAGAGACGTTCTCGAGCAGTTAACTCCGGCGCTCGGACCTTGGTGATTTCATCATCAATATCAATGATGCCTGCTTTGGCCTCCTCCAAGGTTTTCCTCCTCATATGATACATAGAGTATGTCTTTTCAAAGTCGAGGGAATCCCCTTGGTGTTGGAGCTTTGCCTTAAGTCTGTCGGCCTTGGCCAAAAGGCCATCCCGCTCGGATCTTGTGGCGCCAAGGCTAAGATCGAGATCACAGATTGTAGATATGTGAACACAGTTTTACTCCATGATCTTCTTAAACCTCTCCTCCATCCAGGCCCGCTTCTCCTCGGTGGAAGTAGCCTCTTCGATTTTGGAGTTCAGGGCTGCCTCCATGTTATTTACTCACTCAACGGAGGCAGACTCGCACTCGGTAGCAGCAAGAGCAGCATCTTAAGAATCAGCCCACCTAGCCTTAATATCTTGAAGTTGTACATGTAGCTGAGTGGCTTTTTGACTGTGGGCCATCACCTCATGCTCAATCTATTGCAATCGGGCCTCAAGCTCGGTCGCTTTAGCAGCCTTTGCCTCTAGCACCGGGAGGCGCGCAGCAAGTTGATTCCTCTCAGCCAACAACTGATCTCGCTTGGACATAAGTCCTTCTTTATCAAGTATCAATCTCTGAAGGCCTTCGGAAGCAAGGAAGTTGGCCTATAAAAAGGTTTATTGAAGTTAGAAATTTTGTCACAGTAGATGAGTAAAAACACAAGCAGTAAGAGAGCAAATATAATACCGTTGCCTTGTTATGCATGGCGTAATTCAACATACACTCCCCTGAAATGGAGTGTATTTTCTTCTTATCCTGCTTTGAAGCTAGCGACTTCAGATAATTGGCAAGTTCCCACTGGCTTGGACAGTAAATGGCACTCCTTCGAGACCGAGAGAGTGACACTCCTCCTCCCTCAGGGATCTGGGGAATGGGGTGAGTAATTGTGCCCCAAATTCCCGTGTCAGGGGACTGGGTAGGAGAAGCACCCTCTTCTCGGGCATTTGTGGCCGACAGAGAAGATGCATCACATACTAGTGGCGTAGGAACAGCTGGTGTAGAAGGGCGTGAAGTTGTTGGTGTTGTAGGTTGAGAAGCAGCTGCAACAGGAGCAGTGCTAATTATTGGTTGCTCACTAACCAAAGGCGAAAGAGGCGCGGTTCCCGAACTCCTTGGACTAAGAACAACAACGGGGATAGGACAGCGGGAGTTGGCATTTTCTACCAGATCCAACTCACCCCACAGTGCTTGGACCTCTTCATTGGTCAGTTCTAAAAGCTCTCCCGGTTGAGCATTCGATTGAACTGATGACGATCGTGAAGGGGCACCTCCTCATCACTAGCTTCCCCATCATCTTCAATGACCACTGCGGTCATGACTAGCTCAGGTGTGGCCTTATTTACTTTCTTATTTTTATCCCCAGTCGAGGAAGAGCACCGCCTTTTGGTCGCTTTCTTTTCTGATCGGGGACTTTGAGAGGAAGTGCCCCCACCGAAAGAAGACCCAAGGGCACCACTCCGAGTGAGAGCCTCTTGCAATAACCTCGTAGCCTCTGTAGGGTCGGCCAAAACCTCGACTTCGGGGCAGGTAACAGAACCCTGCGGGAGTCCTGAATCAAACAAAAAGGTATGGTTAGCAAGTTTTCTTATGTGCATACATAGGTGAAAAGTAGAAAGAAGAGGTTTACCGTGGTTCTTGACCTTCCGCCCGTATTTGGGTGCCATCTCCTTCCACCGACGGGTCTCTGGCATAGTAATATCTAGAATCTTTTGAACCTATTGGTCCAGGCCTTCAACCCTTGGTGGTGTCCATCGAGTAGCTGAAATATCCTTAAACAAAAGGGTTAGCAATGACAAGGAACAATCTTTTTATGGAGAAAGAGATAGATTACGAACATACGTGAACGACTCCATGATTCGGGAAAAGATAGAATTGTATTTGGGATGCTATCCCTAGTAGCAATAATGACAAACTGCTCTATCCACCCACGGTCATTGTCATCATCCATGCTAGTAAACAGAGCATAGTGGCCACGTTTGCTGAAATTTATTACTCCACCTCAGAAGATTTTGGTGGAGTAGAAGTTCATCATATATGCCAGGGTTATGGTTTTCCCCATCTCCGTGTACAGTCGGCGCATACAAGCCAACGTTCGCCACGCAGAAGGGCCTACTTGTGCCAAGCAGACCTGGTACCAGTGGCATAATTCCAAAATCACGGGGTCAAGTCCCCTGCTCAAAGAAAATGGACCCAAAGTGAAGGGGTATATATAGACATACGTAAAACCCTTCTTGGTGAAGGTAACCCGCTCCACGTGGTCAGGAGCAATGATGTTTAGGTCATGGCAGTTACAATCATCCTTCACAGTAGGAATACTGGAAGGGAAAATAAAATAGGGATAACTGCTAACAGCCCAAGTTCGAGGATTCGCAGAAGGGAACTTCTCTTGGAAGTCGTTAATAGTGCTCAAGTGTTTGGGTATGATAGTACTCGCCGTAGGAGGATCAACATCAACATCAACCTCTTTATCATTGCTTCTCTTCGGGCATCCACCGAAGAGAAGATCAGAGTTCTCAAAAGATTCAGTAAAGGAAGCCATAATAACAAGAAAGCGACGAAGTTTTGAAGAAAATCAAAAAGAGATGAAAGCAGAAGAAGGTTAAGTACATAGAGGGCAAGAAACTTATGAAAATTTTGGAAGTAAAAGAGGTAATATGATGAGTATAAGTATAGATATAAACGTCAAAAATTGTGATCATGATTACCTCGAGAACCGGCAAAAACATTGCTAAATCGTGGGGCAACATGTGTTCGGGGTATTAAATGCGAGTATACGTGCATCCTATCAAGCGTCAGAGAGTGTTCAGAAGGCTTTAGAAAAATTTTCCACTAAGAAAGGAATCTTCACCAACTTCTTGGTGACACAAAGATATGTCATTGGAAAGCAGGAGGACTATCTGTATAGGGTAAAATTGGTTCGTATTAAATGATCGAATGATAGCGTGACACATGGAATCGGAGATAGATGAAAGACAAATCGAGTGAGAACCAAGACCGGGAACAACAACTGCAGTTGACACCGGATAAACCCCGAGAGAAACACGATCAACGTGAGCGAGTTGAATGTTTGTCACCATATGACATTTAATGAAGAATATTCTCTAGTATTAAATAGGCAGTCGTTGCAGAGAATTTTAGCATTCATAGCCTGCCGTTACATATTCATCAATGACCCCCTTCATTGTCATTTAAGAGATGCTTGATCCTAGGATCTTGTTTCATAGGTATAACTATAAATAATAGCTTCAACAACCATTGTAAGGACACAAAATCTCTGGCAAAACTTATGCTACATTCTATTCTCAAACTAAATAATACAACTTTACTTTCTGTTTTATATTGCTCTTATTTATGTCGTCGGAAGTATTGCTGCTGGAGCCAAGCCTGCCATTTCCTTTGATTTTAACGCTAATTCTTATTTTTAATCCAATTTATTTATCATTTTGGATCAAATCAGTTCGCTTGTATATAAACCACGTAACAAATTCAACTGTACCATTTTACGGGTAAACACCACTGTCTCACATCAGTAAAAGTATTGGGTAATTTTATCTCAGGCTTGAACAAATCGAAAAAAATTACTTAATATATTTATTTTCATCCGAATTTTAACATGAGATTTCATGGTTCTCATCGTTGATTACTAAACAACATTCTTGGGTTTCAAGGGATACTTCCATTCATAATTTTTATCTTATATTATGTATTTTTTTTAAATCAAAATTTCAATTGAAATAAAAAATCAGAAGATTTAATTATGTATTTCGAATCCCTTCCAATATTTCTAAAACGGATGGAGTTACTGGGTAAGCTCCTCTTGCGTCGGTCTTTGAGGAGATAAGGGGCAATGACGAGGGGACCCACCACCATCCCTCCTTTTCCTCTCGTTTTCGACCAGCAAAACACGATACCCGTAATCTGATCTCTGTAAAATGCAATTTTAGTCTCCAGATTTTGTTTCCTTATCTGAAGTCACTTCAATTAACTGCTCCTTTCCTTTACAAGAATCATTTGGATAACACTAACTCCAATTCCCTAATTTGTGTTCTTTTACTAAAACTTAGGGTTTTGAATTGACATTGTATTTTAGAACGAGGTAGTTAATCTTCTTTTTTTCTTGTTTAATTACTTGTTGTACTATACTTTTTCTTTATGCAATTTGAATTAGGCATGGTCGCTTGGCGAAAGCTTACATTGTACTACCGTAGCTATTCACCAATTGAAAAAGGTAGGATTTTTAGCTTCCAACCCCTTATTTTCATAAGTAAAGTTTCTAAATTTAGTAACTTTTTCCCCCCCTCTTTCTCTTCCTTCCTGGCCACTAAGTGGGCTGTGATGTTTTTGTTGGCTTGAGGTTCGTTTTTTCTCATTCTTTTGGGTAGTATAGTTTTAGAGGTATAGCTATTGTCAGTGTGTAAATTTTCTTTGCCATAGTTTGAGCTTTCTTGTTTTTGTATGTCATTTTGTCTGTTTTGGGAATTGAACCTCTTGGGTGGTCAGATCTGCTGTTTTGATGGATTTTATGGGTGAAGCTGGTTTTGCTGTAGGGAATATGATCCAAGATTCAGCTGCCAGTAGTGGTGGTTTTGGCAGTTGGGGTCCTAATTTTTCCGACCAGGCGGTTTGGGCTACTGAGGATGATTATAGAGCCTGGAACAGTAATGAAACTTCTTCCAATTCCCAGAACCGGTCTGGGAGTGAGCCTCCCAACAAGAAATCTAGGAATGTGCAAGGTTTAGATCCCCGCGATATTGTTACCAGTAGCTCTAAAGCAATCGGAAAGATGTTCTATAAAACTAAATTGTGTTGTAAGTTCCGTGCGGGTGTCTGCCCCTACATTACTAATTGTAACTTCGCTCATGGAATAGAGGAGCTTCGAAAACCACCTCCTAATTGGCAAGACATAGTAGCTGCACATGAAAGTGAGCGGGGAGGAGGAGCAGGAGGAGTACTGGCTGTGGAACCAAGAGAAGAACACCAGATACCAATATTGACTTCTCCTGATTTGCGCGGGGAGTCTCAAAGGTCCGCTAAAGGGAGGCATTGCAAGAAGTTCTACACTGAAGAAGGATGTCCTTATGGAGATAGTTGTACTTTCCTTCACGATGAACAATCACGAGCTAGAGAAAGTGTTGCTATAAGTGTGACTCCTACTGTTGGTGGATTTGGTAATAATGCTACTGGAACAACGCTAAAGCCTTCAAACTGGAAGACGAGAATTTGTAATAAGTGGGAGACTACTGGTTATTGCCCATTTGGCAGCAAGTGTCATTTTGCTCATGGTGTGGCAGGTATGGATCTTAGTTTTTGCTTATTTCTAGTATAGGGAGATGTGATTTTAATGTTTACAGTGAGAATGGTGAAGATTGATGATTTATGATTGATTTTGGCTTGCTGGGATATTGATCTGCTTGGTTAAATTTCATTTAGGTGAAAATGCTAGTTGATAAGTGTATTAAGGTTCCCTTTATCTTCTATGGCGGAAAGCAAGTTATCTTATCATCTTATCTTAAAAGTCTAAAAGGGAATTTGAAAATCGAACAAGCTGTAAGTACTCAGCAAAGAGACTGAATTTCCTGTGTTCAATATTGAATGACTTCGATACTTATGAAGTAGCTGAACTTATCAATAGTTTAAGGATTTCATATACCGTTTTAGTAGATGGGACCAGACTTCCACCAGTTTGGTTCAGGTAAACCAGTCTCTTAGTACTCTGTGATGCCACATGTTATAACACAACTATCCATATTAAGATTGGTATAACTGAGAAGATTGATCAAATTTCTCTTGAGTCTCTGACCTTTTTTATTTGGGGATAAGGCTCTAGAGTCTTTGACCTTTGCCCCTGTATAAAAGGGAGAACTAACTTTAAGTGACATGCTTATTAGCTTTTTCGTGTAGCATTCGGTTTGTGTAAATGATGAGGTGGTGTAAAATATATTGGAAGTAATTTATTTTGAAATAACTCAAAGGCAGCACCCTGAAAGAAGATTACAAGAAGAGTACTTCATATAAAAATAAAATAAAATAAAAAGGTAGAACTTTGAAGAAGAGTGCAATACTGAAGAGATTTGTAGTATGTTCACTTTGAGAAGATTTTGTCAATTTCTATGTTCATTTTCATGGAAAATGGGAATTTTATATTTGCCCTTCTGTAGTTATCTGTGAAATGATCCAAACTTGAGTATCTGGCGAGGAACTTTAACAACGAATTTTTTGTGAAAGCACAGTAGTAGTAGTCCCTTGGGTTTTAATTTAGTGGTAGGAGTGCAACATGTTGATGTGTAGGTTTGGCGCACATCACGGGTTTTGAACCTTGCTGTAGACAAAGCTTGGTATTTAAGTGGAGAATTGTAAGGGGTGAGCCCATTATCCATCGAATTTCAAACTGTGCGCCACTAGTCCTCTGCAATTTCTCCGGTTATCAATAAAAAAAAGTGAAAGCACAATAGTAATGTTGCTCTAATTTGATCTATCTTTCAATCAGTTCCTACAACTTTAGAATCTCTTTTTCTCTTATGTTATGCTCACCACCACTTCCCCAGCAACTCTGTCTCCTCTTTTATTGAAGCCACAAACTAGCAAACCCTTTTAAACTTTGATGACAACAAGGGAAGCATTTACCTCTCTTGTAACCTCTCTGCTACACCTACGGGAGTCTTACAACCTATGAAGCAATAATCAGAGAATGTTGTGAAATTTGGTGGGAAAAGGAAATCAGGGAACACGCTTTTCTACAATCCAGTTGTTGGATAGATAGAAGATTAGTCATTTGATGGGTATGATTGTTGGGGGTTCCATTCTAGTAGCCTGTTTGGCCAAGCTTCTCCAAAACCAAAAGCAACTTTTTTCAAAAGTTGAAGTGTTTGGCCAAGCTTTTAGAAGAAAAAAAAGTATTTTTGAGTTGAAGCAGCAGTAGTTTTGGAGAAGTAGAAAAAAGTAGTTTCTCTCCAAAAGTGCTTTTTTGAAAAGCACTTTTGAAAGAAATATACTTAGAAGCATTTTTTAAAAGCTTGGCCAAACGCTAATTGCTGCTTAGAAGTGCTTTTCAAGTGAATTAGCCAAACACAAAATGCTTCTCACCAAAAGTACTTTTGAAAAAAAAGCACTTCTCAAAATAACCTGAATTTTCTTGCTCTCGACTAGTTTGGTTAATAACTAAACTTGTCTTTGTCTTTTATCAATATTTCTATAGATGAGGCCATCTGTTGAATGCCTTCCCACCAAACTCATTGCATTTTTATTGATGTGGATAGAATATTGGGTGAACATGTACGACTTTACATAGACTAAAGAGCCTGTTTGGTCAAGTTTCTGGGAGGCCAAAAGTACTTTTTTTCCCCAAAAAAGTACTTTTTAAAAAATTTGAGTTGTTTGGCCAATACAGAGAAGTACTTTTGGCCAGTAGCAGAAGCAGAAAATTTTAGCTTCTTCCAAGAAGCAGAATCAGAAGTAGAAAATTAATTTATTCATGACAAAACTATCCTTATCATAAATTTATATTTTTCAAATTATCCCTTACTAATTTAAGTTTTTTCTTTTTATTTTTGTTTTTAGTTTTTACCATTCTATTAAAATTAAAGATATTATATATATGAATCATATTGTAACTTTCCAAATTCTATATTGACTTTTCTTATTTTTGATTTTTTCTTTGTGTAATGTCTTGTAACTTTCCAAATTATCTTCTTCTTTTTTCACACTAAAGCAAATTATCTACATCCTTCTTTGGATTATCAATTCTCTTCCTACAAATAATCATTTATAATTTCTTCTATTATATGCTATTAGTTCCCGAATCTTTAAAACAATTATCAAATCTAATTTGTGAAAATGACCTACAAATAGGTAATAAATTTACAATTGCATTGCATAATCTATCTATATATTATTAAAAGAAGAAGAAAATGTATCCACATTAAGTCAAGTGACCGCCTCACAATAGGCCAATTGGCAATTTATGACAAAGTTAGTAAGGTTAGGTAATAATTAGTTTCTTTTTAAATTTAAATTTTAAAAATAAAAAAATTATACATTATGTGTTGTTAATAATTAGTTACTCCTTTTGAATTAGTTTAAACATACTTAACTATTTATTTTATGATTTATTTTATATATTTAAAATTATTTCTATTTTATGTTCAATGCCATCTTTCAAGTTTGACACTCAGAATTATCTAGTTACAACTACCATGGCTATACATAATTTCATCCGACGACATTCTTCTACCGATAAAGAATTCAACTATTATGCTAATGAAGAAATTACTGCAGAGATTGATGAAGGAGATGAGCCTTCTGATATTCCTTTAGAAATGCGAGACAAGTCTTCTACTACTATGGAGGCGTTGTGTGATAGAAGTAGAGATGAAATTGTTGAGAAATATTATCATGTGTGAGTGACTTTACTTATTATCTCAGGATGGATTATCAATATATAGTAATTTGTGGATAGACTTCTAATTTATACTGAATGATGTATTTTAATTATTTAAATCATTATATAACAATAATAATTATACTAGATAATATCATATGCTTTGGTATAACTATATATGTAAAATTGATTTAAATCTGTAATATGTTTGTTTACTTTATATTTTATATTTTAATAAAATAAAATAAAATAATAATAAAAGTCTCTTATGATAGATATGTAAGTTCATTTTTCTATTTAAAAGAATTATAAGACCTTGGTACTATCCTTTTTGGTAATTTGACACTCAAAAGTACTTTTTAAAAAGATTGGCCAAATACAATTTGTTTACCAAATGTTGCAAAAAATACTTCTTAAATGAATTTGGCCAAACACAAACAGTTTTTTTTTCAAAAGTACTAAAAAAAGTACTTCTGAAAAAAAGTACTTTTCAAAATAAGCAGATTTTGGCAGCTTGGCCAAACGGGCTCTAAGGCTTTAATAAATACCTGTGTCAAAGGGATAATATACAACTTATCTCAGATTAGGGCATTCCTCTTATTATTTATTAATTTACGGTGCACCCATGAGTTCCCTATGTGTTTAAATGATTAGAGAAACATATCATTTTGTAGCTTTTCTAATTTTTGGTATACGTCTTGTTTACGGGGTGCTTCGCCACAACATCAATGAGATATTAGTTTATCAAAGAAAAAAAGAGAAATGATGGTTGAACATGTACTTATCCAAAAACAAGGGAAAGGAATAGTAACTCCAAATGGTATGGTATTCATTATTCTCCATTGATGCATTTTGTTGTATATAGGTTAATTCAGAATGAAATCAAGTTTTTCTTCCTTTTGTATAAGTTAGATGAAATTGATAAAAAGGAGTGATAACCTAGTGGATAGAGTTCTCAACACCCAACCACGATTTTGGATACGAGTTTAGGGAGCAAAGTGGGAAAAAGGCATTGTGTGCTCCTCGGTTGGGGAGTGGAGCTTATTATATCCCCAAAAAAGAAAGATAAAGTGGATGAAATTGAATTTCTAAATCATGTTATTTGGTAGATCAGCTGCAAGGACATGAATGAATTTCTAAATGAAGATTTTGAAGAATAAGGTCAGTAGAAGGAGTTGGACAGAAAGGTTAATTGGAAGTTTGCAAAGAGTCATAAGACCTTGGATGTGTAAGAATCTAGCAGCTTCAGCAGGAATTGTGAAATATCTTAGAAATTAGATTATTCTGGACAGCAAGTTAAGCATTATAGATTACTGTTTTCCAGGTGAAGGAACTAAATACCAATTATTTTTTTTTCCTCAAAAAAAGGAAGAAGAAAACAGAAATGTACTGGAACTTGATGGTGTATGTTTAATGCCAATGTTTTTGTACTGACAACTGTGTAACAGGAAGAGCTTTTTGGTATCAACATCATAAATTTCGCTAAAATGCAGACATAATCATGGTTGGATTGTACTATTAAAAGAACCATACGAAGCGTCAGTGAAGCAGTTGAATGCTGATTTAAAGTCGGTACTATTAGAAATTAGAACTGACTTTGGTTTTGTAGTGGAGAGACCTGCATGAGATATTATGTTTTAGGGTTAAGGGATTCCTTTTTTTTGTGATGAATGCGATTTAGGGTAAAGGGATTCTGCACAATTGAAACCTATATGCCAGGGCTTTTAAACTAAGTTGCTCGTACACGGGTGCGGGTGTCTGACACGGGTGCGGATATAGAGGTCGGATCGATCGTGATGTAAATTCTAACATTCGGGGATACAGATCCTAGTACGGATACAGGTGTGGGGATCCGGCTAAAAATAATTCAAAAAAATAAAAAAATAAAAAACTCTCTAAATTATGAGAAATTTTGTGGAATACTTACGCATAGCTTGTGAAGTGTGAATTCTTTTTTATTCTCAAGTTGTAGATAAGTAAATGATTGCTTTCCTAGATAAGATATGCTATTTTCTTCAAATTTACTCTAGTTTTTGTTCTGATTTCAGGAATTAAATTGTATCTTGTCCCGAATTTTTTCGTTTCTCATGGTCAAAGTACCCAAAATTGTTTGACCAAATCCGGTACGGATCCCATACCCACACCCATACTAGTGTCGTGTTGACACGGGTGCGGCGCCTAAACTGCCGAGTCGGAGCAACTTAGCTTTTAAATATCTAATTGTTTGGCAATCTTTCAGTTAATTATTTGGATGTCTTCTTTTACCTTAGCTAAAGCTGTTGGGTTTCATTGGACTAGACGACAAAATTATGTTGGATGTTCCGTTGATCGTGTGCAAAATACTAACTCTTGCTATTTTGTGACAGAACTGAACAGATTTGGTGGAGGACCTGTTGAAACAGAAGGCAAAGATTCTCTTTTTGTTCCTCCAGATTTAAAGCAGGCAGGAAGTTCATTTAAGACAACGGAAAGTACAGTGCCCTCAACCATTTCAGCGCTCCACACGGATGTTTATCATCTAGGGCAGGGTGTTCAGGTACAAAGGCCGAGTAGCATAGTTGAGAGGCCTGGCCAAAGGTTCTTTCAAAAATGGAAAGGCCCCGATAAGATTAGTAAAATATATGGTGACTGGATTGATGACATTGAATGAAGGAGTCATCATAGTTAACTACTAATCTGTTTACCAAGATACTGAATAGCAAATGTTTGCTTTCAGCCAATAGGCATCCAGAGGAATTTGACCAAGTTTTTCTTTTCTTCCTTTAAACCTAATTTAGGACATGCCTAATCATGTTGTTTTAGAGCTACAAGCTAGATTACTGCTTGTGAGCCAATGTGTAATCTCTGCCATGTACTATAGTCAACTTGTTTGTAAGAATAAGGACTACGATCTCTATATTTTTTTTTTGAGATTTTCACCACGCCACGGAACCTTGTAGAATGCAAAGTATAAACTGTAACTTCCTTTGGGGGCAGATAACTTAAAATGTATACAGGTTTTGCTTGTGTAGCTTGTAAAATTAGATAAACGGGACGGTTTTAAAATGTATACAAGTGTTGCTTGTGTAGCTATGGGTCGTAGAGGAGAAACAAATTTGAAGAGCTTTGAATGAAGCTGGAGGGAAATATGGTTACGAAATACATAAATTTGATATTTGTAGAATTTAAGAATGCAAATGAAATGATTTGATCGTCTTCTTTACTCTTGTTGGAAGGGTACTCTATTTTTCTTTTTTAAATTATATCTGGGACTGGTTAGGGTAAAGTAATTGAAAGTATCCTAATAACTTTCCTTTGCAAGGGGCAATGCTTCATGGAGTATTATCTACAGCAAACCCCAAATCAATATCTCCGAGGAAATTAGTCGGCTATTCCTCTGGATTTTATCAAGTGGCAACTCATGCCAACAGCTCAAAGTTTTGATCTGAATAGAAGACATCTTTGTATCAAGTGGCAACACGTGCATACTAAATGCTACTTTGTGCAAATAGGAACATACTCGGAACTGCTCTGTCCCATTTATATTCAAAATGTTGACCCAATTTCACTAATGTTTTTTCAAGATTTCAAATTCATTTAACTTTTCACGTTTTCACTTTGATGTAAAATATTCTCTACCAAATTTTTTTACTAATATAATGTACAAAGTAAAATTAACATAGAAGAAGTCAATGGACATTATCACATCAAGTGTATGAAAGAAGTCAATACAAAGAACATATATACAGTATCTGCTTTACACTATCTCCTATCTCAATAAACAGAGACACATCCTAAAGTTTTTTTTTTTTTTTTAATTAAGGATGATGCACAAAAATCTTCACTACATCTTTCTGACTCGTCTGATGGTGAAGAAGGTCCCTTAGATCTTTATCTGTTCTCGTCATCAGGAAAATAATTGGAGATGCAAGTTTCCTTTCATTTTATGTACACTTCATTTGTAGTTTGGTCTTAAGCAAGCGTACTCAATGTTTAACCAACATTGCGTCTAATCGTCTTTTCCTGGCGGCATGTTTTAATTTCTCAAGTGCAACTAATCCAACCTGCCTGACCCTTTCTCTGGACAAACCTATCCTGTAAAGAACGAAAAATAGCATTTAGAACAACTGTTCAACATATAGATATATCAGTCGACAAAATGTCTACATAATAAGAAACTTCACTGCTATAAAATTTTCAGATCACGTTTAAATTGATGCTTCTTACAAATTTAGACATGTACATTTTTTCTTTATCCTTAGCTAACTACTGACTAAATTCATTCTCAGAATTAACATGGTTGATTATGCCAATCTGATGATATTCTTTTTTTATCTTCCAAGAGATAAAAGAAGAATGAAGCAACACACTTCTAAAATACAGATACCCCATGAAAACGAGCTACTAAGAATATGTGCGATAAGCATTCTAAAGAATCATGTTAACTAGAACTCTGTTCAAAAATAGGTTCTCGATCAACATAACCTGCTGTATGAGGCCATAGTCTTGATGTGAAAAGTAATATCCACTGGAAAGTAGTAAACAACCAATGTTATTATGACTCTTACCTTCTACTAATATCCTCCCAGGTAAGACACTCGTTGTCTAGACCATAATACAGTCGGACAATCTCTCTCTCGCGTTCTCTAAGAGTTGAAGAGATGAGGTTGTTTACTTCATCCTGTAAAACATATAAAATCAGTAATGATTTCTTCACCAGCTGTCCATGAATTCAGAAGAAGCCAGAAGTTATACACAAATGAACCTCAGAAGTGTTCTCTTGCATTTTTACATGAGTATATAGAAGCACATGATGAATATATTCCAAAAGGTACAATTTTGTCCTCTGAACAATTTTCACCATAGTCGAAACATATTCATTGCCATTAATTCATAGTTACACTCATGCTTTGCATAACTCATAGAGAACTCTGACACATTAAGCCGTTTACTCTCTGAGACATTTCAAGTTCACATCTTGATAAATAATAAGAGAGGAAAAAAATGCAGCATAGAAAGAGGTAAGACCAGCGGACGCCCATTCAATGGAAAGCATAGGTAGGTAGGTAGGTCAAAGCACGATAGAGAGTCACATGAATCATCTTACCCTTTGACCCAAATTTGACCTATAAGTTGGTGTGTTATCCTTACTACCATTGTGTAGTAATGTACATGCCTTGCGAAATTAATAGAGCATTAAAATATATCAAGCCTTCTTTCCCTGAGATGAGAAGAGAAAAACCAGGAAAAAACATGGAAGGAAGTTGTCTAGCAAGACCTACATTGTCTTGGAATCATGCAAACTTAGCACAAAACGATGCACAATGGAAGAAAAAGATCCTTATAAACTATACGTTTAGTTGTGATTCAGGTTTAGTTTACTAGGATTCCATTAGTCATGTTAGAGATTTGTATGAGAACAGAAAATGTAGAGAACTTCTGGCGCTACATTGGATTACTATGGATTAAATGTAGAGAAATCTTCAAATATTGGATTACTATGGATCTAAATGAAGTGATAGGGTTAACGACAATTCATAAACATGACCCTAACTAATTTGGGATTGAACCACAGTTATAGTTGTTCTAGAAGAGAAAAAACACAGCAACACAGAAAGAAGGGACTTCAAGAGAACAAGATTTCATTGTAGCGCCACTATCAAATATAATGATCTAAAGGTACAAGGAATATGTGCCAAGATCATACTTCCTGCACGAAATTATGATTCGGAAATTAACCATCATTATGACTTGATGTATTGATATTGAACCTTATTTTGACTCAAGGAGGAAAGACTCATCTCAGGGAGATAATGCTACAATACTAGAGCTAATTGCCACTACGAATCTTTCAGGCATGCATCTACCAGGGCGCAACCAATACTAATTCATCCGTAATTTGAGGGAGGGGATAACAGGAAACAAATACCTCAGAAGTTTGATTTTGTTAAAATTCATAGATTTATGATCACAAGTATCTTACTAAATACCATTCATATATTCAATATTTAATAATAAATTCTGAGGATTGTTATGATAAAATTTACCTTGAGCATCCATTCATCAACTCCATGCCACGGGATGTTCTCCAGGCGATTATCAGCAATGTACTGCAGAAGAAAGAAAGCTATGAAACATTAGTCAGTGATGAAGAAATGGCTAAAAAAAGGCCTAAAACCTTAAGGTATTGGTTTTTTCTCCCCATAAATTCATCCACCCAGGCTTTCACCTCCCGTGATTTTGTGGGGAGGGGGGGGGGGGGGGGGGGGGGTTGGGTTCAAATATTTCCAGTAGATTGATAGTACTTAAGTCTTCCCCTACTCTGGGTGATGCCACAAAATATACTTATAGTGTTGTCAACATTGTATATCTCTCTGCTAAGTAGTAACTAATAATTTTACGGTAATAGTTTATCTTAAATCTATGGAAGTTGAATCTTAAATTTGTAATAGCCAATGTCCTTAGTTATCAAATCAAAATATCTGTAAGAAAGTTAATATGTACAATTTGGGGATGCCAGCAGTCTTGGATTATTTAGTAAATCCAGAAGCTGTCAAACTCAAATCTAGACATTTCGCAAAGATTTGGGTTTGAACTTACGCTGTGAAGTGTTTCTCCAGGAAGTCCATTTAAAGAGGGAAATGCTTCCCTATCAAGTGAAAACACCTTGCTGCTTGCCTAGAAGAAGAAACATTTTAGAAGCAATTTTATACAATATGAACTGGAAATGTTAAAAGCTACTATAGGATAATCATACCTCAGTTGCATTCCTGACTTTCTTCTGGGACATGTTAAGGCACTCAGCTATTTTCTGATAGTTCCGGAGTAGCACAAGCAAATTAGAAGAAAGTGTAATATTTCACAATTAACTTTGTAAGCAACATTCAGAATATGATGCTGATCAATTCATTTTGACAGAACTTACCTCGATTGATGGAGTTATTCCATTCTCTTTAAGCTTGATTTTTGCATTACGGATCAAACTCAGTCTTTCATGTAGATGTATGGGCAGTCTTAAGGTTCGTGAGTTCTCAACTAATGCTCTGGAGACGCCCTGAGAATTGGGGGAAAAGGAAATGAATGGTCATCATGATATTACAAACTTGCGCTGTTCTAGAAAAAACTAAAAAACAAAAACTACATGGTGATCTCACCTGACGAATCCACCAATAAACATAAGTTGAGATTTTGAATCCTCTTGAGTGATCAAATTTCTCTATTCCACGAAGTAGTCCAATAAGGCCCCCCTACATGCAAATGAAGGAATTTTCCTCAAGAAGTGGCAATTTTCATTTTACAGTCTATTGACCAATGCACAAGTGCAAGAAGTTCTGCACCTGTAACTTTTGTTCATACAGTAAACACTTACCTGAATGAGGTCAGCCATTTCAGTACCGTTGGTATCATATCTTTGTGCAATTGACATGACAAGACGAACATTGCTCATCGCAAGCTTTTCTCTAGCCAAGGAACACTCTATTAATGTAGATCGTAAATCAGCACGAGATATTTTCAAGGAAATCGCAAGTTGATCGTCAGAAGGTTCACATCCCAATCTTTCCTTCAGCCTAAAATTTTCCATGTATTAAACAAGCTGGGTAAGTCATCTCTAGAACATGTCGATGGAAGTCATTGGATAAAAAAAACAGAAGAAACTTTCAAAGTGTAGCTGAAAATCCCAGTCCAACACATCACCTCCAATTTTATTAACATTTTCCCTTTGGGAAGTAAGGAGTTCTCTAGAATATCTAAACACAGAGGTGTACATAATGAAGCAAAGTACCATTTCTTCTCCAGCATTCCGCCTCCAATTTTTTTATTTACCTCTTACTCCATTTTTTATTAGATAAGGAAGCTAGTAAACACTGGCAACATAACACCAGCTTAAATGTGGTTCAATCCCAACATTCACAAGGGCATAACAACTTTTTATATTG